TGCAGTGATGATCGCCTGAACAGATTGAGTCATGCATGTGACAGATGTCGAATCTGAGTATGCCATACTATTCCCCAAAGGACGTGTGCTTTTTTTGTCAGTTACCTATGTTCATCCCCCTGGAAATATAATGTCAGTGATGTTGATCATCCATGTGACTTTTGACTTCAAAATGCTGTTGGACTTCGTATGATTGATTGCCTCTTTCATCTCCGGACTGTAGCCATTCTTTAGCTCCTGGATGTCCTTGTCAAATTCACCATTCATCAACAACACTTCTGCTCTGCACGTGTACTTTACCCTGCAGACACTTTACCTAAGAAGCTTCTGCAGCACATGCAGGATTGGTCAGAAAGAGAAAGCTGTTCAATTTCCTACGCTTGCTGCGCGTGATACGCAAATCAAACGCCATGGAGTCTGTCGAGTTCAGTTTTCAAGACTGCTGTTTCGTGCAGAGATCTATTCAAAGCCAGGATTGAACGTGATACCGTGATACCCCACTACAAGCAAGAAAAGGAGATGGTCAAGTTAGTGTCCTCTTCCTTGGCATTCATGTCCAGATCCTGCAAATGAGGCATCCTTGGTTTGAAGCTATCCATTTGCAGCCGTCCTGGATGTGCATCTTGCGATACATTGCTGCAGCTCCGCCTGCCAAGAAAAGCACCAGAAGCGCTCCATCTGGTGCCAAATCCAAAACCCTTCGTCGCTCCAGTCACTGTGCTCCCAATCCAGGCAGGAAGGCAAGCTGAGACGACCATCGAAAACCTGAGTAGCAATGAGGACTAGCAAAGAAAGCGGAGAGTTTGAATAATCTATGCAATGATATATAAAGTCTTTTGAATAGCTTGATACGATTTCTATATGATTCTCCTACATAGAAAACTCCTTATTCTATGGTCCTCATCCCTTTTAATTTCCAATGAGGATCAAAGGGCTGATGTCCTTTCTCCCCCCTGAGTGTGCAGTTTGTAGTCCCAGTCGCGTTCGGCGCAGTAGCCATCGACAACGGTTTGCTTCCACACCTCCTGCTGCCTCATCATGCCGGAAAAGGAAAATTGACTGACTTACTATACTGGACTTTCCCGATTGTTCACATTGCAGGCCGATCAGCATACCATCCTAACACCCGGTACAGTACAGTCCGTTCGTTATTCGATTGAAAAAGATATAAACGCACCACAGGATCGAGTGAATTAAGGGTCCCACTCAAAGTGTCTCTAAATCACCAGGATCGTGAAGCCCAAAGAAACACTTCATCTCAGAACCCTTCCTGCTCCGAACCTTTAGCGGCTAAAGCATTACAGTAATGTGAATGCTTCCTGCAGAAGCTATGGGAACGCAAACACGCCTCAAACATTGTTCTTAGTGGGAAAAACATGCATGGTCTTCATCTTGTGATCCTCCAGCTGAAGCAAACTCACGCACTACAACTCCACAAGACTCATGGCTGGTGGAATTTCCACAAGTTGCGCAGTTTGCCGTGGATCGAGAACACATTGGAACTCCTGGTTTGTTCTTCCAGGAACGTGGGTTTCGATTCATCGACCCCGGCCTTGCAAAATGCACAGCATAAGCTGGATAAGCGCCTTATTCGAGAAGCCCCGAATCAAATCCATTCTTGTGAAGCTGCCAGGGCGTGAGTGTGAATGCCCCAACTCGCTGGCAGTTGGTGCCAGGTGCAGTTATATACAGCTACATACTAGTAAAGCACAATGTATCGTTCCATTCTACTCGTCCTGGTCTAGATCCGTAGCTGTGGATCCCAAGATCAAGGTCTGCACTACTTTCCAGCTAGCTCTCTTGGCCCCCTAAAGCCAACCCTCTGGCGATCTATATATATATATTCAGATCTCATAGCCTCGTGGTCAAATCTCAGCATCAAAACAATCCCCTCAATCGCAGCTCAGTCGATCTCCAGTTCTTGACATCCTCACCTCTGCCTCTCTACGAGCAGCTTGAAACTCCCAACATCAAAATGAACTGGCTGCATGAAAAGACTCTACTAAAATCCATCTCGGCCTTCGATTGGTTAAAACTCATGAAGGGATGCATGGCATTCCATTGCGGTTGGAATCTATGGCAATGGAACCAAGCAAAAATATTCAGTCATGTCATGTCATATAGTCTTCAAATCTTTTGGCATGAGGACGCGAGCTGCGAGTCTGCTCCTACAATCACCTTAAAGATCTCAAGTGGTATCTCATGACGACACTGTGGAGTTGTTGCCTGCTTGCCAGGTCTCCACTGTGTGTGTGTGCACCTTGGATTGCAAGCTTACCTGTTGGTAAGATTTCTTTGACATTTTCTGTCCTTTAAGCAGGGGGGTGGCAGTAGGAACGAGAGTCTGCCACTCACGAAGACACTCTCGATTTCCTGCGATGGGACTGATCATCCCAGCGTACGTGCGTCGTACCGGAGAATTTCCTACTTGGCCCCTTCCTAAGTACAGTAAAACAATCGTTGGCCTTTGCAGAGGTTCATTCACAGCAGTCACGCACTTTGGTTATCTCAGGTTTCATCTCTCAGGCTTGCGTGTGGCAAGCGGCTTTCGGCTTTCAGTTCTTTTGTTCAATTTCCCAAGTGTGTGCATTGGTCAAAGTGTAAAAGGCTTACGGTGGCGATACGTAGATCCTCAATCTCTCACCATGCGGATTCCTCTTTGAAGCTTCAGCACCTACTTCGAGGGGGAGGTGCTGCATGCCACTGAATCAGGCGCAATTGTGAATCACGCCAAAAGCCAACCCAGCACTAGCCTTTTACACGGGAACGAAAGACAAAGACTGAATGGATTATCCAACAATGAAGTAACCGCAGAGTCTAAAGTACATTAAGATACATATTGCTGCATTATATTGTAAATCTGTGTGTCTGATCTCCTCATCTTTCTTTGTGTAGATCTTCCCGCAGGTAAAAGCAAATCCCTTTGTGTGTACATAGTAGCGTCCTTGCTCCTAGTAGTAAGGCCAGGAGCCCCTAGTAGCTTCTTGTTACTACTAGTAAGGCACCTGTTACTACTAGCGTGGCACTTGTTACGACTAGCGTCCTTGCTCCTAGTAGTAAGGCCAGGAGCCCCTAGGGTCATGGGATGTCATGGGCCATGGGGCACAGGTGTGACTCTGGTTCATGCCAACGAAGACGGCCAGAATTCACAGTATCAAAGGGAGACGGCCCTTTTGACGTATCTGCACTATTGGTTGTGAATGTTATAACTGCAGTCCACTTGTAGAGGTGCCCAGACTGTTTAGGTATTCAAGGTCGGCAAACATGCATTTGAATCTGTCTTTTTCTCAGGCCATCCAGGTTTCTTCAGGGCTTGAGGCCTTCAAATCATACGTGCACCAATCTCTAGTGTGTCAGTGTTCTGAAATTTCAAGAATTCATAGTGCAGCTTCCGTGTGTGAGAACTCCTCGTTTGATTTCTCAAGTGCCCGGCCATTGCCCAAGTCCATGGAATATGACAAGTACATCGACGACCTCCAATGCACTCAGCAACATATTGGGTGCACTTGCACCAAAAACAAAGCCTTAATACAAGGCAACACTGGCTGCACAGACTGGGATGTAGGCTGCAGCCCCAGCAGACTCGCCGATCGCGATGTATTGGAGGGTGTTCGCCTTTAATCTGCACAAAGAAATACTGAATATAATGGACCTTCCTCTGCCATTCGATTTAACTTCCGTCACCATCGCTTCCGGCAACCCGTGAGTCGTTTCTACAGTTGACTCCTCAGATTCAGGCACGTTTGAATGTTGGGTAAAAGAGGTAGCCATTCCGGGAGTCCTGGAAGCAATCAAGGACTTCCACCGCATATGTCAGTCGCAAGACCGTGGACTGTGTCCTGTGACATGTACGCGTACCACGCGAAGAGGAAGATCCAGACTTTCATGACAAAAACTTGTTGAAAGTTTGACCTTGGACACCAAAGAGGAAAGTGAACCAGTTTGTGGCCCCCAGTGAGGCTCTACTTGCAAATAGGCAGCTAAGGGCAAGACAAAAGATCCAGCACAACCCACAGTGATGGCGCCTTGAAGTCAACAAAGGCGTGTGCACACTGTGCCTTTGATACTTGTCTTGGGGGAATTCCTTGTTCTTTGTATGTGCTGAGCCTGTGCTGGTTCTACTCTGTGACTTTTGTGCCCATTGCAGGTGGTTCATCATCGGTTGGTGAGAAGTTGCCAGTTTGGGGCTTTGTTGATAAGTGTCCCTAAAAATCTAGAAACCAAATCCTTAGCGTGAGCTATCCTGCGTCCAGTTACTAGTAGCCACTTAAGCTACTAGAAACCTAGCTACTACTAGCTGCCTACCCCTCGTTTATAAAAATTGCTCAACGTAAGGGTTGGATTTTGGGTGGGGGGCTGCCTATGGCCCTAAGTATGGAATGATGCAAGTGATGCGGTTCTACGTCTGGAGAAAGTTGGTGGGATTCGAGCACCTCCGTCTTCTCCCACCAATGAACGTAGAGAGAGGCTTCGTAAAAGTCGAGTGGGCCATTGTCAGCTGAAATGGAAGAAGAACAGGGTTTTGTGTATTGAACCAGCTGCAGAAGCAAAGTGCCAGCCTCCCGGTATGTCTTTGCCATTCGGTCAATTCCTGCAGCAAACTGTTTATCCTTGACAAACAGATTCGGTCCTTGATCACTGAGCTTGATTTCCCGCATTGGCTTGAAGTAAGATCAGCACGCCCCTCCAAGCCCAGCTCATTTACATCCTTGCAAAAGGGCTACAGATCACACACCATTGCAAGCCTGGTTGTTTAGCTTTTGGTATGTTGCAAGAGTTTGTGTCGAACCTCCGAATCGAAACACTCAGGAAAAGGAATGATATGCAAAAGCAGGCCAAGTGCAACTGTGCATCGTCGAAGTTTAAGCCACCACGGAAAGGATCCCCATTCCGTCGAATGGCCTACCCAAGCGGATGTGATGTTCCAAGAACGACTCCGCGACTCCGCTGCCACCTCGACTCCGCTGAGGACCAGGTCATATTTGATGGTGAATTCCGCATCATTTGCGATGCGCACCTCGGTTTCGCAGGCACGCTTTAAACGCTCCTGCCATCATCTAGCAGCTAGCACCGTCTAGCCTCATCAGTCTCATGGGAAAATCGGACTTGATCATAAAGCGCAGCAATGAACTCTGGCGCATGTAAACCTAAGTTGTGCCAAATGTGACGCGGAGGGCATCCTTGCTGAGTTAAGGTTGGTGCCGTGTTCAGAAAGAGACTCCAGAACTCGCAATAGAAGAACCTGCTTGCTTATAGCGTATTGAGAGGACAGAGATGCATTTGCTCAATCAAACACATCTGGCTATAGAAGTGGCTGCAGACTGCTAATATTAAGAGGATTTATATAAGAGGATCTTACACGAAAACAAACTGGGTCATGGAAATCCCGGCCATCAAGCACTCCCAACCAAGGGTGGGTGTATGATGTTCTAGCCACTTTGGACAAGCTCAGCCGTACATGGTGAATTTCTTGAGACCAGCTCTTGCTAACACCGCCTGAACAAAGGGTCTTGATGTGGCTCATGTCACAGTCCAACCCATCATGACGAGCATTTCTACGGCAAAGCTTTTGCCATCCCTTCTGCCGAAGCTTCGTTAGTTTTGTGTCAAGGCAGGAGGTTTATCCCGGCGAAGCTTTCAAACAAGGGTCTTGAGTAACTTCACAGTTTGCTGCCTTCTGCAAATCACTGCAAGAACAATATCCCAAAGCATTCCAAGCACCTTTCATGAAATGGTTTGCATATCATTATAATGACATATTACCCAATTCTGCGTCAACAAACTTGCCCTTTGATAACAGATCAGAAAGTGTTGTACGTGCCCTGCCGCTCAGTGATGCCGATAAGCTTGTGTCACCGCAGCGTCATGTGCTCAAAAATGGATGG